CTCATCTCCGTTTCCAAGCCGAAGAGCCAGCGCTGTCCGAAGACGTTTCTGTGGTCATGTGGCTGGCATGACTAAATGCCAAGGCGCACGGAACGCTGTTACCTTCCCACCAAAGCGGTACCTATTTATCTACTTGCAATTTCTTGCTTTCAAACTGCTCGGTTGGCAGGAACTGGGGCCAGAGACGGGAGCTCACTCCGCCACGCGGCACTTGGGTCTCGAACTGCTGAACTACAGGCCTTCTGGTCTGCAGCTCAGTGTCTTAACCACTTGATTAGTTTTTTTGAAATTAATTTTTATTTGGTTTTACGATACATAAACAATTTTGTGCAAGCAATTCAGTTAAAATGTCAAATTGGTATACACCACCTTCGTAAACAGTATTCAGATATCATACAATCTACTATCTATTTTTCTGAAAATAAGGCATTAAAGTATCAATAAGTCAGTGTTAACTAAAGCCCATTTTTCACATAACAGCTTTCCTGCATCTATTTTCTCTAGGAGTGGATACCATTTGTCTAATGGATCTAGGATTGTAGTCTCTAGAGATGATCTATCTGTGTATACTGTGAATTTTTCTAGAGTAAAGCAATCCCAAATTTTCCCGTACCACTGGGCTATTGAAGGGGGGTCCCTATTCTTCCATTGCTGTGCTATGGTTGCTTTAGCTGCCGTTAAGAGAACCAGAATCAGATCTTTGCGGATATTTGGTATCTGATCATCTTCCCATAAGTTTAGTAAAATTATAAGCGGATCAAAGGGTACTGTTATGCCTGTGAAATGTTGTATGGATTGTAATATTTGATTACAGAAGTTTCGGATGTGTAGTCTTAACCACTTGATACCCAGAATTAAACTTTGTCAGTCTTAAAGGTGCCACGGGACTCAAACTTTGTTCTATGGCTTCAGACCAACACGGCTACCCACCTGAATCTATTGCCTGCTTAAGTCATCTCCCACCCTTTCTTTCCTTGCACTGTTTTTTCGGTCCTAGACCCACTGCGTTGTTTGGTTTTTAACATATTTTGTAGTCAACTTTGCGTCTCAGTAAGAAAGGCAGGCTATAGGCGAGGATGATGATAATCAGATGTTTGGGATTAGAATGGAGAAACAGCGGGACGGGAGACAGAACCTTCCTCGCAGGGCTCAGAAATCAATCTATGTATTTGCTCCGACAAAGGGAGGCAGTGGCAAACTGAGGGATTTCAGACAGACGATATATTCCGGAAGAGGAACGGTTCCCAAACGGTTTCTGGTCTGTCATTTCAGACAGAACCGTTTTAGAACCGGTTCCCTACCGGAATATATTTGTAATTTCAGACACAAACGCTTTTGTCCCATTTAGGAAACGGGGCTGAAGCGTCTTTTTGTAGCAGGTACTCATTTGCATATTAAGCGACACACCCCTAATGTAGCCAATCCTCCAAGAGCTTACAGTAGCTTCCGTAAGAAGAGCTCTGTAAGCTCCTGTAGGATTGTCTACATTAGAGGTGTGTGGCCTTATATGCAAAGGAGACCCTGTTACAAAAAGAGCCCTACCGGGTGACCACTTTCAAGTAGTCTCCAGTTTCCTCTCCCGGTTCCGATGCACTTTTTCCCGCCGTTTTTCGCCCACGTGGGTGATCTCCGGCTTTTTTGGGGGGGAACATTCGCTTTATAGCGCTATAACAGTATAACGCTATAATGGAACAGCATTATATCAACCCCATTGGAATGCCTGGAGTGTTTTGTCATAGTGCTATAGTGCTATAAAGCAAACATAAAAAAAAAAAAAGCTGGAGATCGCCCGCACGGGCAAAAATTGGCGGGGGAAAAGCGGTGCAGTCTGAAATCGCAAACCACTTTAGATCCAGCTCTTTACCGGAAGGGGAAAGCCATGTGTGAAATGGCAGCCCTATACCAGTTTACTCCACAACGGATCAAAAATGGCTTCAAAACGGGTTAAAAAGGGGAATATGTAATTCCTCTCTGTCTCTGCTTCTCACTTGCCTTGAAAGCTCCTTGCTAGGGTATCCAGAAGTTGGTGATGACTTGATAGCACATGTACATACATAAGCAAGGGATTAATAAGAACACTATTCAGGACTCCGATAGCCAGAGATGAAAATTTGTACTGGGGAGGCAGACCTTTCCCCAATCAAGCTGTTTAGGGCCAAATTATTCCTAGGCCTGGTATCATCAGAGACAGAGGAAAGTAACAAGGAGGCTGTACAGTCCAAGGACAAAAGCCCCCCACACGGGGTTCCCAGTTCCCACTGTCTTTGTAGCAGCATTTTGGAGCCCTAACATTGTGATCTCACGGAAAAAAATAGTACCATGCTCATTTTCTGCACACAGGTTTTCTGATATCCAAAGTTAAATTCTGCACACAGGCATTAGAGCCCTGCTGGACCAGACCAGTGGTCCATCTAGTCCAGCCTCCTGTCTCACACAGTGGCCAAACAGTTCCTCTGGAGGGCCAGCAACAGGGCATGGAGGCCGAGGCCTTCCCCTGATAAGAATGTCAGAAGAGACCTGCTGGATCAGACCAGCGGTCCATCTAGTCCACCATCCCGTCTCACACAGTGGCCAACCAGTTCCCCTGGAGGGCCAACAAGAGGGCATGGAGACCGAGGCCTTCCCATGATAAGAACGTCAGAAGAGCCCTGCTGGATCAGACCAGTGGTCCATCTAGTCCACCATCCCGTCTCACACAGTAGCCAAACAGTTCCTCTGGAAGGCTAACAACAGGGCAGAGAGGCAGAGGCCTTCCCCTGATAAGAACACCAGAAGAGCCCTGCTGGATCAGACCAGTGAAGGTCTATCTAGTCCAGCATCCTGTCTCACACCATGGCCAACCAGTTCCTCTGGAGGGCCAACAACAGGGCATAGAGGCTGAGGCCTTCCCCTGATAAGAACATCAGAAGAGCCCTGCTGGATCAGACCAGTGAAGGTCTATCTAGTCCAGTATCCCGCCTCAAACAGTGGCCAACCAGTTCCTCTGGAGGGCCAACAACAGGGCACAAAGGCCAAGGCCTTCCTTTGGTGTTGCCTCCTAGCTCTGGGACTCAGAGGCTTAGTGCCTGTGAACATGGAGGATAGGAACATAGTTTCATAGGGTAGCCATGTTGGTGTTCAGTAGAACAGCTAGCTTGCAGTCCAGTGAACACTTTAGAGACTGGCAAGATTTTTCCAGGTATGAGGTTTCAAGAATCAAAGGTTCCCTTCGTCAGAGTGGAAGTTTGGAATGGCACTTTGAATACCACACGGGTCTGAGGTCCAGGTCCGTTTCTGGATTCAGAATGCCTTTCACTCCCGTCAGATTCAGTAACAATGGACAATCCTTTCCTATGATTTTCGCTGCCGGAATGTGAAATGAAAACAAACCGGATGCCAGAGAGAAGGGTGGGAGGGGACAGAAGAGAAGCATACAGCCCTGAAGGAGCTTCCAAAGAACAGAAGACCAACTTTCCAAGTATAAGCAGAAGAAAGTTTCAGCTGAGTTTTGATGAGCAAGCAAAGTTTAATGAAATCACGTCATTCCAAAGACAGGATCCTGACGTGTCTTCGTGGAAGCCAGAGTTATGGTAACAAAGCAGGGAAAAGTTGCTCTGGAAAATGTTATGTTTGCACAAATACCAGTTTGTGAACTTTCCTTAGGAGAATCTAATGATCTCGTCACGAAAAAACGGAACTTTTGACATACCGTTTGCCTGAATTTTGGTGGTGCACAGCAAGGACTGGTGAAGTTTTTATGCTCGTACAGACGTGAACCAGCATGGTGTAGAGCTTAGAATGCCAGATTAGTATCTCTGAGACCCAAGTTCAAATCATCACTCTGACACGGAAGCTTGCTGGGTGACCTTGGGACAGTCACACTCTCGCAGCCTAACCTACCTCACAGGGCTGTTATGAGGATAAAATGTAGGACAGAGAACTATATAAGGCACTTTGGGTCCCCACTGGGTGACGCGTTTTAAATAAATAAAAAAAGACTGGAACAGCATTCTAAGCCAGCAAATGACAAGTCCTAGCAAATCCTTTCAAGAGAAACAATTTACCACTCTCAAAAAAAGTTAGCAGACGCTCACTTAAAAAAAATATTTTTAATTATTAAACACCAAAATCAATGTTTCCTGGGCAGGGCAACTTCACACCAGTCGCTCAGAGACCATTCGTAGTCACAGCTCTTAATGGAGAGAAACAAATTCCAGTATTTGCATAACAAATAACTCCCCTAAAACCCTCCTCTCCTCTGAACGTAAGAGCCCTGCTGGATCAGACCCGTGAAGGTCCATCTAGTCCAGCATCCTTTCACACAGCAAGCCAGCCAGTCCCTCTGGAGGTCCAACAGCAGAGCATGGAAGCCAAGGCCTTCCCCTGAGGTTGCCTTCTGGCACTGGGACTCAGAGGTAGACTGCTTCTGAACATGGAGGTTCCCTTTAGTCAACGTGGCTAGGGGCTACTGATAGGCCTCTGATAAATCTATCTAGTCCCCTTTTAAATCCATCTATGCCAGTGGCCATCAGTACATACTCTCTGGCAGTGAATTCCATATTTTAATCACTTGTTGTGTAAAGAAGTATTTCCATTTGTCCATCCTCAACCTATGGCCCATCAGCTTTGTTGGATGCCCTGGAGTTTGAAAGAGGCCCTTCTTCGGGCCAGCTTCAGTTTCATGGTCCCCAGCTCCAGTATCAGTGACAATGACAGCTGTTCAGTGGTGGAGTTTGCTCTCTCTCTCTCTCTAGATCCCGTGATGTTGTCTGCATGACACATGGTTGAACAGTCCTGGCCTTTTGCCATATAATAGTTTCTTACATAATTAAACGAACAAGTGAGCGACACGCGATTCGACAAGGAGAGGGGCCACGGCTCCGTGGCAGAGCATCTGCTTGGCACGCAGAAGGTCCCAGGTTCAACTCCTGGCAACTCCAGCTGAAAGGACCAGGCAGGAGATTATATGAAAGACCTCATGATCTGACTCAGTATAAGGCTGCTTCGTTTCTGTTCATCAGCCACTCCTCTGTGGCGCCTCTGGAGGGGCCCCAGTTATTGAACTTTGCTTATCAAGTGAGTGGAAGCATCCTTTGCAGGGGGGTGAAATAAAGGATCTGTACAGCTAAGCAAAAAAACCCTTTGCTGCGTCAATGGCCAAAGAAGAGGGATTGTTCTGTATTGTCGGCCCTTTTCGCTTTCAGCCGACCCGAACTGTTTGTTTGTTTGTTTTGCAGCTAGAAATTTCCACCCTGTGCGAGAGGCTGCCCGTAGAGCAATGCGAAAATTCTGGGAAGGCGAATTTGTTCCGAATGCTCGGGTAAACCTCCAGCAATCAGGGAGGTCTCTGTCCAACAGAGCGGCGCATGAGGAAGAGGGTGCAGGTAAGAAAGAAAGACAGCTTTTCTAACTAGCAGGGAAATCAGCAGTATTTCACTGTATTTCTCAGGACAGGGCACAGATGTGTCATTAAGAATGTTCTCATTAACTACAGACACTTCTTTGGGTCTGAACGTGTACCCTTGGCACTGTTGTTTTCATAGCTTTTCTGTTTATAGTGTCAGGGACAGCGGCCTCGCGCACGGAAAGCAAGCAGGTGACGTTTTTCCTAGCAACAACAAACTTCTTAAATTCCTGTATGGCACCTTCGCCTTCTATTGAATGTATATAAAGTATTTATGACACTGAATGTTAAATCAGTATAAGGGTTCCTAATTTTTCTTTAAAAAATTGTACACTGTTACTTGTTGAAATATTCACTGTTATTTGATACATGCTTTATACTGAATTGAAAAATTTATAAAGAGTTACAGAAAGAAAGAAAGAAAGAAAGAAAGAAAGAAAGAAAGAAAGAAAGAAAGAAAGAAAGGAAGGAAGGAAGGAAGGAAGGAAGGAAGGAAGGAAGGAA